CCTTCCTTCCTTTCTTTCTTAGATTTTATTATTTATTTGACAGGGAGAAAGCACAAGCAGGGGGAGAAACAGGCAGAGGCAGAGGGAAAGGGACAAGCAGACTCCCCAGTGAGCAGGGAGCCTGATGTGAGACTCGATCCCAGGACCCCGGGATCATCACCTGAACCAAAGGCAGATGCTTAACTGACTGAGCCACCCCGGCGCTCCTTATTTTATTTTTTATTTTTTTTTAAGATTTTATTTATTTATTCATGAGAGACAGAGAAAGAGAGAGAAGCAGAGGGAGAAGCAGGCTCCCAAGGAGCAGGGAGCCCGATGTGGGACTCGATCCCAGGACCCTGGGATCATGACCTGAGCCGAAGGCAGATGCTTAACCATCTGAGCCACCCAGGCAGCCCTTATTTTATTTTTTTTTTAAACAAATAATTTGTCCTTAAAAAAATTTTTTTATGTAATCTCTACCCTCAATGTGGGGCTCGAACTCACAATCCCAAGACCAAGAGTCACATGCTCTACTGACTGAGCCAGCCAGGTGCCCCCACCTCATTATACTTCTAATAAATCCCTCTCTTTGTGTGGGAGCTGGCCAGGGTTGGTTTCTGTTGCTTACAACGAAGGTAATATTTACTCTGTGGCTTAGACAATTCTGGTCAGAGATCAGAGGAGGCTCCTTCCTATTTGCTAGTCCAGAAGTTAATTAGTTGGCTCATTTTTGCTTGTTATCTTTTTTTTTTAAAGATTTTATTTATTTATTTGACACACAGAGAGAGACAGCGAGAGAGGGAACACAAGCAGGGGGAGTGGGAGAGGGAGAAGCAGGCTTCCTGTGGAGCAGGGAGCCCGTGAGGGGCTTGATCCCAGGACCCTGGGATCATGACCTGAGCCGAAGGCAGACGCTTAACGACTGAGCCACCCAGGTGTCCCTTTTGCTTGTTATCTTGAAGTTTTAGAACCGCAAGAGATAAGGATCAGAAAAGGAAGTTTTTCAGACGTCTCAATTTTCTGCCCTCAGTAATAAAGCAGTGACTATTTATTAACAATCAAATTAGATACACTGCTTCTTCAGCCCTCCTCTAGGAAGGTTTATTTTGTTCTTTTTGCTTCAAAAGTTCAAACAGTAGACAACTTATCCTGCCTGTCTCAGAGGGGTGGACAGAGGGAGGTTCTTCATGGGACACGACTTAACCACTGCTTCCCAGAAGTGGGGTGACTTAACTTCCTTTTGAAAATCCAAATGATTAGATAGAAACCATTTCCAATATAAATGATTTTCAATCACAACTTTATTTGAGACGCCGGAAGGTATTATTATATACATTAAATATCAAGGAACAAGCTGGCAAAATATCTTAGGATTTGGAGAAAAATGTATGAAATTTGCAAAAACACGTGCTTTTTTGATCCTTTGCTTTCTTTTAATCTGAATGGATATTCCCTTTAGAAAGAAAAGGCCAAGCCATGTGGAACAATTGCTTGTGGGACACTGGTGACAATTTTCCAAGCCCATCCCTTCAAAGATGAAGGAAGGACTGCATACGGCAAATGACTGAGACTCTTGGCTTTGCAATTACACGTTGTTCCAATGGGCTGTGGGCATACCCGTGGTGCCTCTCAAATTTTGAGCAGTTACCTTGCATCCCAGGGTTTACAATGATCAGAGGGGTGCACTCCCAACGCCAGACACTTCCAAGTTTGCCAGCCAAAGCTTCTGAACAGAAATCTAGAGGACCAACAAGAGCGGGCAACTTTAACCTTAGATCCTCAGCCCAGAGAAATTGGTTGTTATTTGCCTCTCTTGTTGTTGCCCTAAGAGATGCTGTATAGGCATCTTGGAATGAGCTAGGGCTGTCCAGGAGGCACCTTTGGGGAGATACAAGTGGTATGGCTGTCTACCCAGGTAGGGTCAGCCTCTGCCCAGGTGTGATGCCTGGCCCACCATTCCTCCCTAACCAGCAACTCTAGCCAAACAGGTGTGCAGGGCTTCAGGTGGCCCTGTGCTAAAACGAACATCTTGCCTCATGCAACCAGATGTGACCGGCAGTGCAAGGATCGTACTCCTGATTCCTGAACATCCTTGGATTTCCCTTCTGACCTGTGCTTCTCACATGAAGACAAAGCCATCCTGGTGATGCTGGTGGATACTGTCACCTTCTCAGGCTGCCTCAGCTCCTGCTCCAGCCCAGCTCCAGCCACTTCTTAGTATCTTCTCCTTCTCAGATGCCATATTTCCATCCTCAGCTCCCAGAAATCCTCTGGTTTTGGAGGACATGGACCATGGCCCTTTATTTTTTTTAAGATTTAAGATTTTTAAAGATTTATTTATCTTACAGGGAGAGAGAAGGAGAGTATGCACGCAGGGCGGGTAGGGACAGAAGGCGAGGGAGACAGGATCTCAAGCAGACTCTGTGCTGAGCGTGGAGCCTGACTTGGGGGCTCAGCCTCACGACCCTGAGATCATGACCCAAGCCGAAACCAAGAGTTGGGTACTTAACTGACTGTTCCCCCCAGGCGCCCCAAAGGCCCCTTAAATACAAAGTCACTTGTCCAGCACCATGATCCACAGTGGATCACTTGGCTACTCAGAATATCTATGTGGCCATACCTCCTTCTGGCGACAGGGCTATTCAGACTACTTACTCCCTGTTACCAAATTCACATACACTTCAAACCCACATAGGACACAATGCACTTCTCCACTTGGACCTCCTCATTCTATCCCACTGGTGTTGTTTCTTTTACTCCTGGGCTCCAGTGACATGCTGAGCGATCTATAGGCCAGCTGGGGGCTCCTGGGCACCTGGGATGAGATACGGTCAGACGCCCCTCCCGTCCAGCACCTACTATCTGGCATCCTTGAAATGACAAGTCTTCCTCTCAGAGTGTTCTGACTTCTTCCTATAACCCACCCCGTGCATCAGATTCATCTTTAACTGTCCCCTGTTCTCCCGGACTCACTGAGATGCTCCCCCGTAGCCTTGTGGCCAGCACAGACAACCTGGGGTGGGGAAACAAACTGTAACGTGAGACTGCTGGACTCCAGGGCCAGAGAGAGTCCCTAGACTACTGGCAGAGGTTCAGCCCAGGGAAATGGACATGGGAAACCACTTCCTACTTTCAGAATATGCTTGAAGAGGTTCAAGTTTTCCATCAGGTGAAACCCATTCCACCTATGGAAGGAGATGGGTAGGTGGAGAGAGATACCAGAGCAGTGTCTGTAACTGTTCTTTCTCTATCGGTGATCCAGGCCAAGGATCCAAGGATGTTCCATAAAAGGCTCCTTCCTTCATGTACCTGGGCCACGTGGAATTTCTTCACGTGCTGACCTGGATTTCACCTGAACTCTAAAGCAGAACCTTCATTTGGGGATTGATGATTGCTCTCTAAGTAGGGTTAATTACCTAGACCATTCCTTGCTTTCCAAGGCCACCTTACCTGGGACTTGTGTGGGGGGAGGGTGTGTCCCAATTTCTCTCAGATACAACTGGGGTTCTTAAGACCTCGGCATAAATCAGAGCCCTGGGTCCCTCATTCGTCCGGAAGGAAAGGGTGGTTGGGAGGGCATGTTGAGTTAGAGGTGCTTATGGGAAATGTCTGGTTCTTGTGTTTATGAGAAAGGTCTAAGCTGGAGATAAAGATTTCAGATCACTACTGCATTAGAGGTGGAGTAGAAGCCACGAGGATGAGCTGCTCAGGTAGAACGAGCTGCGTGAGAAGAGAGTAAAGGATGAGAGGACCAACAAGAAAAGGCCAGGCAGAGGTGCCTGCAAAGGAGACGGGGCAACTGGAGAGGCTGTAGCAAAAGTAGGAGAGAGACGCTCCACCAAAACTATGAAGAAACTTCAGGCAAGGAGGAAGGAGTCAACAGTGTCAAATGCAGTGGAGAAGTCTAGTAAAATGAGGTCTGAATTAGATTCAGCAACTGGGAAGCCTCGGGGGGACCTTCGGACCAGCTCAGTCAGTGGCTTGATGCAAACCCAAGCAGGGTGAAGCATCCGCCATGCTCGCAGGCACAGAGAACTCTGGGTACCAGTGAAGTATCTCTGCCTACGTTGACTGGCTAGGCTCACCACCTGTTTCCATTTATGTTTCTCTTAGCTAAAACACCCAAATACATTGCTAGTCTGGAGCAAGGCAATAGCTTGGGATCTATTTTAGTACCGTAAAAACTGCAAAAGTTTGTCTGGGTTCATACACAGTACTATACTATCTTACAATTTACTTGTAGGTTCTGAGTCTGCAAGCCGGTGAACACTTTAATTTCACATACTACAAACGTGGCTTTCCAGGGCAACGCTAGTCCCCCATCACCAATTCCACTGACAGCAACAACTGGCTGGAGTAGCAGCCCCAGCCTTGCGCTCTCCATCTGGCCAGTCGTCTCCACCTCCTACCACCGTCCCTGATTTTTCTTACACTTGGCTAGCTTCGCTCATTTGTTCACTCATTTGTTGGGTCCCTTCTCTCTCCGCAAAGGTTTAACTGTCAAACAAAACATATACTGCATACATTTATACCACGCTTTCACCTTTATTTACAAAGCACCTTCCGCCATTGACCTCCATAAGAAATGCTTAGGCTGGAAGGGCAGTGGCGAGGCGCGTGCGCCCCCTGCCGTGGCCCCGGAGCGCTGCAGCCTCGCGGGCGCGCTGCCGCTCCCCCTCCACCCGCTGTCGGGAGCTCCGGAGGAAGCGGCGGAGGCGAGTGCCCGCGCAAAGCCTCCTGGGAAATGCCTGGCCTACAAATCCCTGTACGCGCCACGCTGCAGCCCCGAGGAAGAGGGCGCTTCCTGGTGACTCTAAATCTTGATGGTGCACGAGCCTGATTCAGTATTCACAAGAGGCTTTTGGGGGAACATCTCTCTTTCGCTGGGTGCACGAACGGACTTTGCTGTCCCAGTTTACTGGACTTGTTCGTTGTGGCGAATCTGCCGTTGCCGTGACGGTGGCTAGGCGCGCAGGGCCCTGACGTGAAGCTTGCGGAATCTGCTGCGGGAAGAAGAACGCCGGGGTTTCTTGGGCAACTACAGTCATGGCGGCGACTGCCCCCAGTGCGGGGGCCTCCGCGCCTGAGGCGGCGGGTTCCGCCGAAGCCCCGCTGCAGTACAGCCTTCTCCTGCAATACCTGGTGGGCGACAAGCGTCAGCCCCGGCTCCTAGAGCCCGGCAGCCTGGGCGGGATCCCGAGCCCGACCAAGAGTGAGGAACAGAAGATGATCGAGAAGGCGATGGAAAGCTGTGCCTTCAAGGCAGCGCTGGCCTGCGTGGGAGGTGAGGCGAGACTAGGGGGGCCGTTGGGAGGCTGAGGGCTTGGACGGCAGCGGGGTCCTCTGCCAAGAAGACCACGCGCCTGGGAGGCGAGGAGCCTGTGGACCTCGATCTTGACCTCACCCCTGCCTCGATCCGTGAACTCGAGTAACCCTTCTCTAGGCCCTGAGGTTAGTTTTCGCCTCTGGAAATTGGATCAGAGAATCGGTACTATATGGGTCGGGGCGTGGAGGTTGGTTATAAAATGGTTGACTTCATTCATTCGTTGATTCGCTTTTAAATAAGCATGCTTTCAACAAATTGTTACAAGTAGCTATCACGTGCTCGGCAGTGGAGGGGCGGGGTAAGAGACCAGAGCCTGGTTGTCGTGAAACTTAACATTTTAATATATATATATATATAGAAGCAACAGTGTTGGGAAGGAGCCTGGCAGGAAAGTGGAACATAGGGGAACAGCAAGTGCGAAGGTCTGCCAGGAACCGGCTTCAGGTTTGAAAAACAAAGGCCCGTGTGGCCAGTGTGACCAGATGGCAGTGAACAAGGGGGAAAGAAGTCTGGAGCCCCCCCCCCCACCTTTTTTAAACCTTTTGAAGGTTTAAATGTATGAATGTATGGTGTCCCTCCTGTAAAGAGATTGGCCGAATTTGCAGATGAGTTGAAATCTCAATGAGAATGAAAGACAGTCAAGAAACAAATATAGTGAGTGCAGATGTGAAGTAGAGTAGAAAGGAAAGAGAGGTATTTTTTTTTGGTTTGGGGAAGGCTACAAGAAGAGGTAAGACTGCGGCTGTATCTTGAAGGATTGAGCGAACGGGGGTAGACAAAGGAAGGGAAATGCCCTTTCAAGTTGGGGATGGAGTTGCGGATTTGGGCCTTTTGCCTTTAGGCATTAGGGCGGTGATTGATGCACGTGATGAACCAGCGTGGAGTGTGGTGAAGGAAAGAAAAGTCTGTGGATAGGGAGACCGTATAGGGATTTTGCTAAACCGAACCTCGGTGAGGCCTGGCCTGGGTCTTTGTTCATCATTGTGCCTGACCCAAATAAATCACATGTTTGATGAAATGATGAATAAGTCTTGTAATGCTTCAGAGTGGAAGTGATAAAGGTCCTAGACTAGGACAATTGTGAACATAGGGTTGGGGGCGGGGGGAGCAAAGCAGCAGTGAAGTGCCCTTGAGGTTTGGAGCTGGAGTGACTGGAAAGAAGGAGCCATAAGTAAGAAAGTCTGGAGGGGAGGTGTCCACGATTTCATTAAACATATATTGACCTTGAGGTGATGAGAGGATATCTATATGGAAATGTCCAGCAGGCTCAGGAAGTTGGGGACAGCAGTGTGTGGTTTGCCATTTGGTAGCTTTGTGACCCTAGGGAAGTTACTTAACCTCCCTGAGCCTCAGCTGCTTCAGCTACAGAATGGAGACGATAATAGTATCAACCTCACAGGACTATTATGAAGAATAAAAGAAGCTGTGCCTATAAAGCGTCAGAGTAATTGGCACATGGTACTCACTAAATGACAATTAATGAATGTCACCATCATCAAGGGAGTGATTTGCAAAATTGATAGCTGAATATATGAGTATAGACAGCAGAAGGTTAAAGATTGAATCTTGAGGAATGTTAGAAAATAAAAGGAGGCGGGGCACCTGGGTGGCTCAGTGGGTGAAGTGTCTGCCTTCTGCTGAGGTCATGACCCCAGGGTCCTGGGATCGAGCCCGCATCGGGCTCCCTGCTCAGTGGGGAGCCTGCGTCTCCCTCTTCTCCCCTGCTCGCACTCTCTATCGCTATCGTTGTCTCTCTCTTAAATAAATACATAAAATCTTTAAAAAAAAAGAAAATGAGGAAGAAATCCAAAGGAAGACAGAGAGACTGTCAACAAGGTCTGGCTTGTGTGATGTGGAAACCAGGTAACTGGAGGGTCTGAGTGGCAAGGTGGAGTGGCGGGGGTAGGTAGGGAGTGTCCTCTTTGCTGGTGACCATCCAAAATGTGTATTCGAGTATGATGACCTCATCAGAAAACATGCCAAAGAAATCTTTATTTCTGTGTTTGTTTTTAGGATTTGTCTTGGGAGGTGCATTTGGGGTGTTCACTGCCGGCATTGATACCAACGTGGGCTTTGACCCTAAGGATCCTTACCGTACGCCGACAGCAAAGGAAGTTCTTAAAGACATGGGACAGAGAGGAATGTCCTACGCCAAAAATTTTGCCATTGTGGGCGCCATGTTTTCTTGCACTGAGTGTTTGGTAGAATCTGTAAGTGTCTCTGCCTTCTGAGAAAGCCTTGCCTGTACCATCTTATGACTTCCTTTTTTTGTGAAGATTTTATTTATTTATTTGACATAGAGAAAGAGAACAAGCAGGGGAATGGCAGAGGGAGAGGAAGAAGAAGAAGGCTCCCTGCTGAGCAGAGAGCCTGACTTGGGGCTTGATCCGAGGATCCCGGAATCATGACCTGAGCCGAAGGCAGTCGCTTCACTGACTGAGCTACCCAGCCCCCTCCCCCTCCATCTTATGACTTCTAAAGAGAAATGTTGATTAGAAAGCAGATCAGAAATGTCTGATACTTGGTAGATTGAATTTTCATTAAGTGGTCCCTAATGTAGGGGCACCTGGGTGGCTCAGTCATTAAACATCTGCCTTCTGCTCGGGTCATGATCCCGGGGTCCTGGGATCGAGCCCCGCATCGGGCTCCCTGCTCAGCGGGAGGCCTGCTTCTCCCTCTCCCACTCCCCCTGCTTTTGTTCCCTCTCTGTCTCTCTCGCTGTCAAATAAATAAAATCTCAAAAAATAAAAGTAGTTCCTAATGTAAACTTTTTGGGCATTTATTGCATTTATTTAGGCTTGCATTAGTTTTTAGTTCTTGTAGGCTAGAAGTTGGTTAATGATTTTATTTTTTAAATTTTTGAAAAATCTAGTTAGCATATAGTGTTATATTAGTTTCAGGTGTACAATATAGTGATTCCACACTTCCCTACAACACTTGGTTCTCATCACAGGTGCACTCCTTAATCCCCATCACCTATTTCCCCCATCCCCCTACCCACCTCCCCTCTGGTCACCATCAGTGTGTTCTCTAGAGTTAAGAGTCTGTTTCTTGGTTTGCCCTTCTCTCTCTCTCTTTTTTCCCTTTGCCTGTTTGTTTTGTTTCTTAAATTCCACATGAATGAAATAATAATGGTATTTGTTTTTCTGTGACTGACTTAACTTTGCTTAGCATAAGACTCCCTAGCTCCATCCATGATGTTTCAAATGGCAATATTTCATTCTTTTTTATGGCTGAGTAACATTCCATTGTGTGTATATATCTTTATCACGTCTTCATCTGTTCATCAATAGATGGACACGGGCTGTTTTCATAATTTGGCTATTGTAGATAATGCTGCTATAAACATCAGGATGCATGTATCCCTTTGAATTGGTATTTTTGTATTCTTTGGGTAGATACCTAGCAGTGTGATTGCTGAATTGTATGGTAGAGTTCTTTTTTTTTTTTTTTAAGATTTTATTTTTAAGTAATCTCTACACCAAACGTGGGGCTTGAACTCATAACCCTGAGCTCAAGAGAGACACACGCTCCAATGACTGAGCCAGCTAGGCACCCCAAGAGTTCTATTTTTAACTTTCTGAGGAACCTCCATACTGTTTTCCAGGGTGATTGCACTAGTTCACATTCCCACCAGCAGTGCGAAGGGGTTCCCCTTTCCCCATGTCCTTGCCAACACCTGTTGTTTATTGTGTTTTTAGCCATTCTGACGGGTGTGAGGTGATATCTCATTTAGTTTTGATTTGCATTTCCCTGGTGTTGAGAGATGTTGAGCCTGTTTTCATGTGTCTGTTAGAAGTTGGTTAATGATTTTAACCGTGAGACTTATTGGGGAACCAGAGAAGAGATTTTGATTACTCCTCAAATGGCGCACTTGGTTTCAGCGCTCCGGTACCACCTGCAGGAAGCATCCATGAACACATTCAAATTTTAGGAACTATATTTTGGAAAGTGAAAAGGATTAGGTTTCCTTTGGGGAGGGACTAAATTAGCCAGCTAGAAACCCTGTGTTTTTTTCCCTTAAACATCTTGTCTGGCTTGTTTCTTTGGCTCTAAACTGCGTTTCTCCACCCACAGCACCGGGGGAGATCAGATGGCAGGAACAGTGTCATTAGTGGCTGCATCACTGGGGGAGCCATTGGTTTCAGAGGTTAGTAAACAACCCCTGCTTGGTTTGTTTTGTGGCCTTGGACAACGTGCTGTAGTTGACATTCCCAAACACATGCGTGTTCCAGGGACAGCCCAAGGCATATGGGGACACTTGATACTCTTCTCTTATGACAAGTAAATCACGTTTACTTTTGCATTAACTTACTTTTGGAAACTTCTAGTATCTAGACCAGGGTTTTTCATCTTTGGCACCGTTGGCATTTTGAACCACATAAATCTTTGCTGGATGGAGAGTGGGGCTGTCCCGTGCATTGTAGGATGTTTAGCGGTATCCCTGGCCTCTCCCCACTAGAAGCTAGTAGCAGCCCTTAGTTGTGACAACTGAAAGTGTCTCTAGACATTGCCAAATTCCCCCAGGGGACGAAATCACCCATGGCAGAGAACCACAAAAAGATCTAGATTTTATTTTTTTATTTTTTTAAAAGATTTTATTTATTTGACAGAGAGAGCGAGGGCGGGAACACAAGCAGGGGGAGTGGGAGAGGGAGAAGCAGGCCTCCCGCTGAGCAGGGAGCCCGAGACGGAGCTCGATCCCAGGACCCTGGGATCGTGACCCGAGCCGAAGGCAGACCCTCAACTGACTGAGGCACCCAGGTGTTCCCCTTCTTTCCTTTATTAAAAGATTTATCTATTTTTTTTAAGTTTTTATTTATTTATTGGAGAGGGAGGGAGAGAGAGTGAGAGCACAAGAATAGGGGAAGGGAGTAGCAGACTCCCTGCTGAGCGGGGAGCCTGACGCGGGGCTCGATCCCAGGACCCCGGGATCATGACCTGAGCCAAAGGCAGACACTTAACGATTGAGCCACCCAGGCGCCCCAGATCTAGATTTTAGAAAAAAGAACTGCTCTCACATTGAAAAGATGGGAAGAACTTCCTCCCAGTAAGGAATTCCTGAAGTGTATTGATCTGTAGGATAGGACAGAAGCACGACTAGGTCTCGTTCAGCCCTGGAGAGCCCATTGATCCAAATGGCAGGTGCTGCTGAACTTTCAGGTCCGTGCATTTCAAGTAGTTCAGACATTTTTCTTAATACCGTACAATTGTCAGTTTTAATATTGTGTGTAAGTTATATGGTAATGTCTTTCTGCAGTTGAGGATTCTTAGACTTCTATCCATTGAAAGCCAGACAGGGGTATTCTGGAAATGTGGGTTATCAGCAAGAAACCACAAAGAAAACAGTTCTCTGCACTTCTCCTGTCAGTGTGCCCATCAAGAGTGTGGTTTGGGGGGGTCAGTGACCCGACTCCTCCGAGGGGCCATTGCTGGGCCACTCGCCCTCTTCCGTGCCTGATTTACCCAAAACAAAAAGCCTGTTTTCTCCTTCTCGGAGAGGCAGGATGATTTGCTATCTTTAAAAGCTGCTTCTGCTCCTCAGACAGCCATTTGTGATTTATAGAGTAACTTTTCCTTTGGTCTTCCCATCGCTCAGCTCTGTCAGGGACGTTGAGAAGCTCAGCTCCCTCCAGGATTGCTTTGATCACCTTCCCAGGAATTTAGTTCATAAACAAATCAGGGTAACAGGCCATATGCTTTCACTTGCTTCCAAGGGCTGGTTCTCTTAACCAGTTTCCTGCCTGTGAGGGGCTATTTCATGAAACTGGAAATCATAATTTTTTGGAATGAGAAAAGTTGAACGTACAGCTAGATAAAGCACACTGGAGTAGACTGTGGACGCAGCTTCCTGGAAGTCTTAAAGATCCGATGGGTCGGTTGAACGACAGAATGTTGACACCGGTTTCTTCGCCGCCATGGCTAGGCAGACTTTTTTTTTTTTTTTAAAGATTTATTTATTTATTTATTTGAGAGAGAGAGAGAGAGAGAGAGCGAGAGAGAGAATGAGAGATAGAAAGCACGAGAGGGAAGAGGGTCAGAGGGAGAAGCAGACTCCCCGCCGAGCAGGAAGCCCGATGTGGGACTCGATCCCGGAACTCCAGGATCATGACCCGAGTCGAAGGCAGCCGCCCAACCAACTGAGCCACCCAGGCACCCCTGCTAGGCAGACTTCTGAATGCAGCCTGACTCGGTGTCTGTCACCACAGGTAATGTCATTTCTCCTTGCTTTACAGCTGGCTTAAAGGCCGGGGTCATTGGGTGTGGAGGTTTTGCTGCTTTCTCTGCTGCCATTGATTATTACCTACGGTGAGAGTTCCTGCCTCCAGGGAAGGACACTGCCAGCCCAGGATCAGAGCTGCTCTGTGGAGGCCAGTTTTGTCCCACTGCAGGGCCCTTGCTTCAGAGCCCGCAGACCTTTGTTTTCCCTCCTGTTGGTGTCATGAGGGAGCCACCTGGCTGCCGCCTGCTTCCACCTCTGAGGAGCCACATCCTCCGCTGCCGGGTTCCCGCCACGCTGTGTGGGGGATGTGCCATGCCTGCCTCTCTCGAGCAGATCAGGAGTGTGTTGACTGGTAGGAATGAAGTTCCCTAAAAGTTCCGTCCCAACCACAGCTGGCCCTCCGGTGGTTCCGTGTGGTGGGACCAGAGGTGACTGGACATGTACCAGGAAGCTCGTGTACTTCGGAACTCCATGGAGTCGTCCGTCCCACATGGCAGGGCAGAGTAAATGTAGACTGGCCAACCCATCATGTCATTTTGTTTAGTGTTCTGCTATCTTTGTTAAAAAAGTTAGATTATAGTTTAAAAGGTTGGTTGGTTTTTCGCGGGGAGGGAACAGCGACAGCGTGGTCCCATCCCCTCCTCCTCCACTTCCCATTACAAACAATAAAGGCTTTTCATACCATAAAATAAATGAATAAATAAAAGGTTGGTTTATTTTTATTTTCAAATTCCATGAGTCCCAAAAATGGTGCCAGGTGGCCCAGAGATTGGACATCCAGAGGGGGAGTGAGAAAGTTCCTGAGAAGTGTGGGAATGTTCTATTCTCAGGGTTTGCAGAATAGCGTTCTTCTGAGATTGTTACTTTAGCCAGGGCCTGCCCTCCAAGACGCCCAGCCCAGCCATATCCTAGGATGCACTGAAATTCCATGCATTAGCCCTAGCCTCTTCTAAAAACTCTCCTGTGGGCTGGCTGATGGGAATGCCTGCGGTCCGGGCCACACTGGTTTTAGGCTCTGACTGCTGGACCAAGCCCAGCTCAAGGACACGCTGTGTGGAGTCCTGCTGTGGTCCTCCTGATGAGTCCATGAGCAGCGGCTAGTGAAAATCAGACGGTGTTGAGGGGCCATTCTCCACTACCCTTGTTCTCTGGTACCAGGTGTTTTTGTGTGTTGTTTTTTTTTTTTTTTTTAAGATTTTATTTATTTGACAGAGAGAGACACAGCGAGAGAGGGAACACAAGCAGGGGGAGTGGGAGAGGGAGAAGCAGGCTTCCAGCCGAGCAGGGAGCCAGATGCGGGGCTCGATCCCAGGACCCTGGGATCATGACCTGAGCCGAAGGCAGATGCTTAACAACTGAGCCACCCAGGCGTCCCTGTTTGTTTGTTTTGACACATTAGTGTTTTTTATTTGATCTAATGGTCTTTTTCGGACAAAAGAAACTCAGCCTAATTGTGTATCCCAGAGCAAAAAATAGGCTTTTATGGTTGGGATCTGCCGTGAGTGCTTCTTCACTCTGGTCCTTTGGTGAGGACACGAAGGGAATGAGCTCAGGCTTTCCCACGTGGGGGCCGGAGGGTAGGCTTGGTGGGGCTGTGTAATTCCAGCCACCTTCAGCCAGCGGTAATGTCTCCTGTTCTGTACACTGACTCCTTCACCTTGTTTTGCTTTCTCCCCTTTTTTCTGCTGTCTTCTAGCTTATGCTCCCCACCCCCCAACCAGAATTCAGACTTGGCTGAGACATCCAGATGTCCAGGTTTGTGTGTGTGAGTGAGAACGTCAAACTCAGCCGGTAACCCCTTCCTCTGGCCGCGCCTGCCGCTTCCTGGGCAATGAATGTGAACTGACGCACAGGGCTTATGTCCTTTTGTGGTGGAGTCTAAGTAATATCCAGCCCAGTCTCACAGGTATGAGGCTTCACTGCTCCTCAGCTAGCTGGAGTATCCTCAGAGGCCTGGGGACAAAGTCAGGAGTGTTTCCTATACTGTCCCTAAGTAAGTCACCTCTAAGCACTTGGAGGGCAGGAGCAGACGCTCCTAGCTGGCAGCTGTCGAAGTGCCTGGATGCCTGGCGTCTTCCACCAGCCGGCCTAGCAGGGAGGGTCCAGTGTGCTGAACGAGGCCCAGAAATGCTGCCTTTCGGACTGCCTTGGAGCAGATGAGCCCTCGGGCTGTCAGTAGCCATCATTTCAATAAGCCAAGCGTCGTCCACATGGACTATTCAATCAAGAAAGGAGATGAATAGTTTCCTGTTTTAGATGGCTAAGGAGTCAGTATGAGCTCATAAACCAAACACCAATTTTCAGAGACATCTGTTCCTGATCTCCAGAATAAACACAGTGTCCAGTGGCTTAGGCTGGTGGGAACCTATATTAACCCCACTGGCTCTCCTAAAGGGAGGCTGGGCCCCCTAGAGGATCCAGTCTCTCCAACAATCAGACTAGGCCAAAAGGCTGCCCCAAAGACGCCCACTTCCAAGGAAAATGTAGAGAAAAGTTTGCATAAAATAAGAAGCCTTCACTTGGATCGACAACTTTCTGCCATCTCTCGGAGGGATACTGATGACCAGGTCTTTGGCGGGGTGTTTGTCCTTCATGAAAGGAATCTCGCTGGTGACTGACTTGGAGGCCTCTGTGAAGCACAAGGAGGGGGCTTGGGCTCACCTCCCCCGTTCCCCCAAACTGCCACAGTCCCCACAGGCCGAAGGGAAGCTCAGGGGAAGTTAACTAGGTGCATAGATTCCTGGAAACTCACATCTGGAGACAGCTGGAAGAGTTATTTAGATTGGTGGTCTTCCTTGGACTACTGAGTATACAAATGTCCACACCAGAGGGCTGAGTTGTGTGCAAATGTTGGGGCTTTGCATTTTTTTTATTAACATTTTCCTCTCATGTGGTTTACATCAATTTATAATAATCTACATAAGTTGAAACAGAACATAGACCAAAAAAAAAAAAATATATCCTTACCAACTTATTAAAGTCAGATATTAATGAAGGTTCCCACCCTACCTGTATCAGCAAAAACTGGCAGCCCACAGCCGTTGGCCAGCAGGGACAGGTGTCCCTGTGCCCCCATGGCCTGTCTGCTGGGCTCCCATCGGCATAGCCTGCCCTGCTGGGCACAGTGGTCGGGGGTTCTGGGCTGCACGGTCCCTGACTCTCGGGACAACCCATGGGCTCCTTCCTTGGTGCAGCTTAGTCCATGTCTGGTACCTGCCCCTCCCCACTCTGGGAGTGGAATTCATAAATATTCTGAGCCTTTTGCATTCCTCAGCCCCTTCAGCCTTCCTCCCTAAGCCAGCTTGGGGGCTGCGGTAGCTACCTGATGCTGAGAAGCAAACTTCTTGTTTCGGGGAGGTGGGAGACACCCATTTGGGGCTGTAATTGGCTCTAGCTGTGCCTCTAGTTCACTACCATCAATGGCTTTGGAAGCAAGAACCTTCCATGCCACACACCAACTCCTGAGTGCTGAGCAGAGACTTCAGGGATGATCACAGGCTGGGATCTTTAGACTCAAGTGGTGGTCTTTCTCCACCTCCTGTCCCAGGCCGCAGGGCTCCTTGCTAAGCTGCTAGCAGACAGCTACGTGGGCAGAATCGTTTCCCTCCTCTTAGGCATTTCTTTCCCCTGGTGTGCACAAAACGTGCACCGTTCTGCCCAAGACTGGGCCACGGGTGTAAACACCTTGGGAAAGCGCCCCGCCTCTCACCGAGCCGGTGCTATGGCTTTAGGGCCAGCAAACCCTTCTTTAGAACTTAGCCCTGAGCACAAGCTGAAGGAGGTGTTCTCTCCAACCCAGAGGGCCTAGAATCTGCTCTCTGCCACCGAGGAGAGCCAGAAAGCTGTGTGCTCAAGCCCCTGCCACCCGGGAGCGTTTGCCCTCTCAGGCCAGCAGCTCAGATGGGAGAAAACTGCGCTTGGAGGATATGCCTCATTCCTTTCTGGCATGGAGAGGTGGGCCTCAGAGTTGGGACTAGAACCTGCTGATCCTCTCCTCTGGAGCAGGGTATCGACAAGGAATGTCCCCAGCAAAACCCGGTCCCAAGAGAGGCAGGTGCTCGTGACTCCCCAACACCTGGAGTTTCCTAGAGTTCACCCTATAGGCCACATCTGGAAGCTGTGGGCGGGGAGGCAGCACCATGGTGGCTGGTTACTGGGGCCCACGCCGGTCTTGGCCAGGCCCCGGAGCACACGTGGCCGTGGGGGTCGCCCCGTGGCAGTGCGTGGCTGTGGAGGATTGTACAGTCTAAGGCAAAGGCACCACAGGGTACGCATGGTGCCACGAAGGGCTGCCTCCTGGGCGGAGCCTGCCTGTTTCCGGACACCTGCTTCAGCCATATTCATTGCCCTCCTACAGACCTGGCTCCCCTAGAAAAGCCACTATAATGCCTTGCTGCCGAGAGCTGCTTTCCCACAACTTCGGGCCCCCAGTGCTCTGCGGCACTCCTCTGAATGTTCCACCTGTCTTGTTTGCTCGGTGGCCCGACTTGCCTGCCTTCCCCGACTCGTGACCCTCTGGCTCTCTTGATATCAGGTCACTTGTGAGTCTTGACACTCAAAGGAAATAGAACACCAGGGGAAAAGGAACTGAAAAGCAGAAGAAACAGTCAAAGATGCCTCACTAGGAGGCAGGAGATAGAACAGATAAACCCCAGAAATGGAGATTGTCAGGTGGAAATTCCAGAGATCGGCTCTGTAGCTCTGTGCTAAGCTGAGGATTAGTGTGAGGCTGTCTCCCTGTCCAACATTTACACAGGCAGCAAGGCCAAGCAGGTGTGCTTCCGCAGGTGGCGGATGGGGTGGGGGGGGGCCGGGGAGGGGGCAGCAGGCACAGCCTCAGACGGGCCACTGCTGCTGCCGCCCAGAGCCTCCTCGGCTCCCAGAGTGATGGAGCGAAAACCAAGGCTGCACATGCACGTGGCAGGCTGGGAGGAAGGGGAGGGTGGAGGCAAACCGAGGGGACGCTGCCCGGAGACTGCAATCTGGAAGCAGAGAGGATAAGCTGGCCGCAGTGACAGAGCGCAAAATAAAAGCCCTTGGACTGGACCGGGGGCAGGGGGCGGGGGGGCAAGTGTCGGAGGAACTGAAAGAACAAAGCAGGCTGTCCGTATGCCCATACTGGGCCGGTCACTACCATTTCTGCAGGACAAACAGACAGGAAACCGTTCCCCAACGGCACGGGGCATGAGACACCACTAGGGGGAGAGAGTGCAGGGCCCAGGGCGCGGCGCTGAGGCTGGGGGCGGCTGTTTTGTACAGGGCGGCATGGAAGATGCACGGATTCCAGTTCGGGGAAATCGGTGTCCCTTGGAGGCTGGAGCACTGGGTTTGGGAGTTTTCGATGGGAGTCTTTCAAGTCTGTTGGGCCCCCTGGCTGGAGAGGCCGGCCCGGGTCGCCCCCGCCCCCCCCAGCGGCTCCCGCCTTGGGCTACACGTCGGTGGAGAAGTACAGTGTGTTCCGCTTCAGTTCTGCGAAGGAAATGGGGGGGTGCTGCAGGTAGTAGAGGAGGACCTGGACCTGTGGGGGGAACAGGGGAGACTCAGGCTGGGCTCCTTGGCCTCCTGGCCCTCCTCCCATCTGCCAAGAAGAAGTGGTCGCCTGGGGTCCCCTCTGTGCCACCCCATCCCTGCCCCCAGGCCATCTCAGGCCACTGCCCCCCCACCCCCTGGCAGCCTGGGGGGGTGTGCCCATTGGCAGCGGTAGAGGGCACCTCGGGGCAGAGGGCTGGGGAGCCTGCGGCCACCTCCCCAACCTCAGTCCGAAGCTTCCGACCTGCTCCAGAGGTTGGCTTTGGCTGGGCAGCCCTGCCTCTAGCCCGGACTCTGACCTGAATCTTGTAGGGACTCCAGAGACGCTTCCTCATCCTGGAAGCAATCCTAGAGCTTCCACACGGGAGAACAAGGCTCCCAGAGGTCTCCTCGGCCCTGAGCTTGCCGTCCGAGACTGTGGCACTCCCACCCAGGGCTGCAGTCAGCACCGGGGGGCCCCCGGTCCGGGCTCACGCTTCTTTTTGTTTTGTTTTGGTCTCGGACGCGGGACTGTCCGGAGCCTTGCCTCCCCGGTGACGTCCTACAGACCATCCACCCAGCAGCTCAGCAGGGACGGGCCGTGGGACTCGGAGCTGCTCTCTCTCCGCCCCCGCGGGGAAGCCCGCTGCGCAGCCCGAGCAGCCCAGGCCGTGCCAGTGGTACCTGGGCCATGACATCATGGGACCAGATGTCTGCAGCCGACGTGAGGTGTGCTTTGCTCTCCACTTCCGACGGTCTCAGTAACGTGGGGCCAAACACAGTAGCCAGGTTGTGAAGGGACATTTTGTTGATGGGTTCCTTCTCAGCAACCCTGAAAGGGTGGCGGGGGGAGAGAGAGAAAAAAAAAAAGACATTTCTCAGCAGCCACTCGGAGCTCCAGACGCTTGGCCTGAGCTATAAGAACTCCTGGGACAAATCCCAGAAAGTGGGTACTAAGCCAATGGACCCCGTCTCCAGCTCTGTCTCAGGACGTTGGATTCCTAGCTCCTGGGGCCACCCCTTGATGGTGAACTGCCAAAGCCAGAAGGACCTGCTCCAACTCCTTCCCCTCGAAGAGGATGACGTTCCTGACTCAAGAACCTTCCTCGTCCCCACTCATCACAGCCCCGTACAGACCAAGACCTTGAAGTACAGAGGTGAGACGTGACTTGCCCGAGGTCACACGGCTAGCCAGTGGCAGAGCTGGGGTCTGACCCCACGCCATCTGCCTCCAGAGCCCGTGCTCTCCCCAGGGTCAACCGAGCTGCCGCGAGTGGCCTCGGGGGGTGGGGGTTCTGCTGTGGGGCGGGGGGGAGGGTGCGTGGCAGGGGCCAGAGGAGGGGGCCGCGGCTCTAGCAGCAGTTGCGAACTAGACCCTGGGCTCTGCTGAGGCTGTGCTGAGGCAAGACAGCCCTGATCCCAGATGGAGCCCGGAAGCTGTTCTCCCGTGCCTTTCCAGAAGGGTCTTCCCCGCGGGACCCCAGAGTTCCCTCCCTTTGTATCTTTCTCTGCTTCTCTTGTTCAGTAGATATTTCCCCTGAGTGACAGCAGGGGCTGCCATCTGTGGCTGGCGTCCAGGCAGACCCAGTACCACCCAGCACATCACAGAGGCCCTGGGCCTTGGCCCAGGAAATGTTTCTGGGGCTGAGACCACTCACCCCGAGCAGCACCCCCCACTCCCAACTATACGGGCGCGCATGCTTACTGCTTTGGAAACGGACAAACACTTACATGCCAGGAGGTAGCTGTGCAGCTGGCCAGCCCCCCTCCACACACACGCACGCACACCAGCGCACGCACACACACCAGCACACACCCCCACACGCGCGCACGCACACCAGCACACACCCCCACATGCGCGCACGCACACCAGCACACCCCCACGCACACACACCAGCACACCCCCACACGCGCGCGCACGCACACCAGCACACACCCACACACACACTCACCAGCCTGGGGCCCAGATGTGGGAACAGACTGTGCCCGGTTCCCAGGGTGGAAAACCTAATGAACTTGCCCTTCCCACTCCTCCTCTGCGCGTCCTCCCCGCAGTGCTCGCCAAACTACGGGAACTGGTTGGGGCTCAGTTCCAGCCAAACCAGAGGGAAAATGTCTCATGATGGGTAAAATAGGACCGTGGCCGCAGGCATTTCCAGGTCTCCACTGGCCCTCAAGAGCTGGCCTGGCTGAGCCACAGCCCGCAGCATGGGCCTGAGGCCTGGAACTGAGCTCAGGGAGGACTGGACCCACCGTGTGGCCCCAGCTCAGGGGGCTCCCTGGTCCCACGTGGCAAATGGATTGAAGGGACACCAGGAAGCTTTCCCTCCCCACTTACACCCGGACCAGTGCTGGGCTCAAAAGTGAGTGGCGAGGACACCGTGGGGGCCGGCTTCAGTTCTGGGCTTTGCTGCAGGTAGCAGCTTGAGCAGCTCTCAGTCGGACCCCACAACAGAAGGGGTGGGGGAGAAGGCGGGAGGGGACTTAGCTTAGGACTTGGGACATGTGCCTTCCAAGGACAGAGACGTTGCCAACCCCAAGCAAAGCCCTGCTGGGCTGGGGCTCAGTTTCCTTGTCTGTCAGATGAGGTGCAGGTCAAGACCAGCGGGTTGCAAACTTTGGACTGTGACCCACAGCAAACACACTTTACGTTATAACCCAGGACACGCGAGTGCGTGTAACCGAACCGAACGACACGCACGCTACGGCTTGCAGCGTCCCCTAGGCTGTCCGTTCCCTTCCGTTTAAAACTGTGAAGTGGACTGAAGGACCACGAACTGCAAGATCCATCCACAGTCCGTGGCTCTGGCACTGCCTTCTAAGCAGCGTATGGCCGATGTGTGAGGCTGCTATTAGGACCCAAATATTTCTCAAAACAGAATAATTTGAAGGCAAAAGTTTGAAAAGCAAACTCTTACCCTGTGATGGATGACCCAGCAGAGGCCAGCACCCATGACGAAGAGCCGAGGGGCTGGGACACCAGGCAGATGTGTCTTCCCCTGCAGGGGCCTGAGCTGGGCTCCCTGCCCCCTCCCCCCGGCCGGGCCCCAGCTCATTACCTTTTCAAGTGTTCCAGCAGGAAGAGGAAGGTGATGAGGTTGGGGTCGGGCAGGGTGCGGAGCAGGTGCATCATGCAGTTTTCCTTGGCAGCAGGGTCTGACAGGGCTGTGGGGAGAGCGGGGCTAGGGTGGGGCTCGGCTCCCAGGGGGGGAGGCCCGAGCCAGCGCCCCCATGGTCAGGAGGCTGTGGGACACTGAGGGAGAGCCCAGGCTGCAGGGGTGAGGGGAGCAGACCCTGCAGGGAAGGAAGGGCCTGGTATCTTCCCAAGAGTGGGCTATGAACAGCTGGTTCCTGTAGAAGCCCCCACCCATGACCTGCAGCTCAGTCAGGAGGCAGGCTGGCGGAGAGCGGGCACCCTCCCGCCCCTCCCGCCCCTCCCGCAGCTCTTGCCATGCCCCACCCTGCCGGGGTCTAGGAGGCAAAGTTTAGGGTAATGAGGACACCGCTTTGAACGTTTCCTCTCTTTCAACTGCCTCTGATGCTAGAGCAGGCACTGAACAGCCTTCCAAGGGGTTCCTCACTCCCTGTGGTGGCTGAAGCCCTGATCTGCCCCGGGAGGAGGTGGGGGGGGAGGAGGCAGGGGGCGTGTGAGGAGGCAGAGGGGAGGCAGGAGGAAGGCGCCCAGGCCAGGGGGGTGGCAGCTGGAGCCCCACCAGCGGAGGCCCTCAGCTTCGGCTCCCCACCGAGGGCATCCATGAGAGTGGGAGGGTGCTCCTCTGGAAGGCTGGGCGCTGGCCACCTCCAGTGCACTCCTGCCGGGCTCGTCCGGCTCTGGGATGCTGGCCCTGACCACCCACCTCAGGGCACATTTCCCTGGATGCTCAGCTTTCCAAGCAAGGAGGTCAGTATTCGAGGAAGAAGCACAGAGAGGGGCCATAGGGCCAAGGGGGTAGCGAGACAGGTGACAGAGGGTCCAGCCTCTGGCTCAGGCCCCAGCGGGTCACACCCCACCGTCTGGGCCACTCAGCCACACCGCCCCAGAGCACTGGGCAGCTCCACAAGCAAGGGAAGCCACGGGTCTCCTGCTCTTCGCTGTCAGGGAGGCCCGGCTCGGCCCAGCCCTCAGTCCCCCAAAGCCTCACCAATGCCCTCCATGAAGGCTGGGTAGAGTCGGTCTGTGAGGAGGGGCTCGGGCAGCTCCCGGAAGTAGAGCTTCAGGGTGCCGGCAATGGCGTTGATGTCCATGTCACTCAGCATCAGTAGGATGTCCTTGTTATCTGCAGGGGAGGTGCACGATCAGGACTGGGCCCACCTGAGCCCCGCCCCCTTCCATGCAGTCCTCAGCCAGGCGGGGGGGGCCCTGCTCCATCCCCCACAACACAGCCGGGGAAGCCCCCTCCCACTCCCTCTCCGCTCTGGTCTCCCCAGGAAAGGCAGGGTGTAGGCAGCGGCTCAGGTGGTCTGTGACTCAGCCCCGTGGGGGAGGGGAGCCCTGTGCGCCAGTCCAGAGTTCTGCAGCCACACTCACACCACACGTCAGACACCCTCTCTGGAATCTCCCCGCCGCTAAGCCTCTCTCTGGAAGGCCCTGCACATTTTTTTCCACATAAAATCCTGTTCTGACCAAGCCTCGGCTTCCAGGTTGCACAGAGGCGCCGTCCCCAGCCCCTCACCCCAGGCTTCCGAACCCAGGCCCCGCCTCGGCTCCCATGGAATCAGCCCTGCCCGGCCAGTTCAGGCTTCCTGGCTACCTACCGCAGCCTGACCCAGCCAGATGGGGGAGAGAAGCACCGGAAAGGGCAGGCCCCACCACGGAGGGGTTTACAGAGCTAGACAGCAATGCCCCTCCCAAAGGGCGCTCAGGGCTCTGGAGGCAGCAGAGGGGAGCCCGAGCCAGCCCAGGTTCGAAGCCCTTCAGTCTCCTCACCGCCCCCCAGGCACCAGGGAGCTAGTGAGAAAGCCAGGAACACTGGAGTAAGAAAGATCTGAGTTGAAAGAAGGCGCCAAACCTACAAGCTGGGCAATCCTGAGCAAGTGACGTGGCCTCTCTGAGCTTCAGTTCCTTATCTGGACCAGCGCGTAAGGGACTGGAGGGGTGGGGGTTCCACGAGAGAACAAGGCAGACTCCTTGCATCAGAGACTCAGAGATGGCCCAGCGCATGCCACACTGGACTGCCATTCACAGAACAAGGCCCCTCTGCCATCGGCGACTTGGGGCCTCTCCGGAGAAGGCGTCTGGTGCTCCCGGGCTCCCGGGAGGGGGATGCCCTCTCCCCACCGCTGCCCCAGCAGGGCCTCCCGCACTCACTGGCATCGAAGACGGCCTTCAGCGCCTGGATGTCCGTGGCTACCCCCGATATCCGGTAGATGCCGACCTCCTCGATGCCTCTCTTCTCCACCTCCTCCACACACTGCCGCACGATATAGGGCACCTTGGAGCGCTCCCGCCTGGGGGGGAGGGGCTGTGAGGGGGGGGCGGAGGGCCTCCCCTCCCCCCCATGGCTGGCCGGAGGCAGGACAGGGGGGACAAAGGCAGGAGGTTTGGGAGACAAGCCCAAAGACTCTGAGACAAGAATGTTCCTGAGAACACAGAGCTCAGCTTCAAATGCTTATGTGGGACCTACACGTGGTCCCCTGAGGCAGGTGGCCGAGGTCCTGGAGAAAAGAGCAGTGGAGGGGGCGGTGGGGAGAGGAAGGGGGCAGCCCCCCCCCGGATTCCCGCCTGCTGTGGCCGAGCCTCGAAGCGGGCCTACGTCCTCAGAGCTTCAGAAGCTGCAGGTCCGATGCTCAGGGGCCATCTCCCGGTGTTTAAGTGCTGGCTTGTTTACTTCTAAAGCATGTGTGAGATGGAACCCTACCTCTGCGGGCCACTTCTGGCCTCTGAATGGGCCGCCCCTGACTACCGAGCTGGGGGCGGGGGTGACTGCCGAGGGGCCCGGCGGGCAGGGGGCTGGCCACCACTCCGGCGCCAGGGGGGGGCACCTACTTAGTCACCACGCTGATCTTCACACCAAAGACGCCAGTCTGCTTTTTGGACGGGGTCCTCTTCAGGCTCATATCCCGGCTGGTGAACTTCATGGAGAACTCCACTTTGATCTGGTTGGGGGTGAGGCAGGCACAGGTCCCCCAGGGTCTGAGTGCCTGAGGAGAGCCTCCAAAACACGGGTCCCCTCCCCAGGACGGCCGCCGAGGGCTGCCTCTACCACCCAGGGCTCCCTGAAACACCTATGCGGGGGGGCGGGGTGGGAAGGGCATGGGCACAGGCGAGGGGAGAGGGACTGGACTGAGGGGACAGGGGCAAGACAGCTGCCCGAGGACAGCAGCCCGGGGCCCACCCACTGTGCGGACGTTTCCTGCCTCTCCCGGCTCACCCCGTTCATCTCAATCACATCCGTGTGCCAGTTCTTGGTTTCTACGGTCTGTGGATCCAACTGCACAGAAAGGAAGAAAAAGGATGTGAGCACGAGGGATGGAGATGGCAGCTCGGGGTGGGGGTGCCTAGAGCCGACGGCTGCTCACAGCGGGCTCAGTGGTCAGGAAGGCAGAACCGGGGCCCGAGGCTTCTCTGGAAATCAGCCCTTCAGGGTGGCGCCAGCCCCCAACCCCTCCTGTCCTGGCTGGTAAAGGACGCCCCGACTCCGTGAAGGAGCTGAGGCACACCGGTAGGCACTCTGGCCCATCCCCCTCTGAGATGGGTATTCGCACCCACTTCACAGATGCATACACTGAGGCTCACAAACAGGAGGCCACCGGCTCAACCGCCAGGATTAGAGTCGCCAGGGGGCGCTGTGGCCAGTGCATTCGGAGGTGCTGAATGGGGGCCAGCAGAGGTCAGGGGCCCGTCTCAGGAGTCAGGCTGCCTGGGTCCAAATCCCAGCACTGCCGCTGCCAGGTGTGACCTTGGGAAGTTGTGACCGTGGCTCAGCCTCCTCTGTGTCTTCTGCTCCCTGCAGCCAGCAGCAGAAGCTACCCGGCCGGAATCCTCCCCGAGATAACTGGGGGTGAGCAGCTGGCCTCCAAAGAGGAAAACACTCGGTGGGGGAAGCCCCCGGATCGGGCGGGAGCCCCAGGAAGTGGGGAGAGCAGGGGAGGCTCAGAGGCATCCCTCACAGGGGACCGGACGGGACTCGGCTCCTCTGACTCAGGGGCCTTCAGACTGTTTTTCCTTGTGCACCCACATAATGATTTTGAAAAATTATGCACTCCCCAGCACATTTGCAACTCGACATCTGAGTATTTTCAAAGCAAGTTTAAATAGTTGCAAGGAATATAACTTCCAGGATAATGTAAATATTTACATCTTAAAATAAAACTGTGACATCATTCTTTTCAATGTATTCTGTGGGATCCCATTACCACAGCGATCTGCTACCCGCCATCGTTCATGAGGAAAATACAAGCTCTCCTTTCCCTTGTAGACACCCTGCATTGTTTCTTTTTTCTCCCAAAGAATTTTGTCCTAGTTTGTACTTTTGTCTTAAAGTCTTTTATTCATCACCGTATTATATTTTGCTTCAACAAAAATATCTGTAAGGGGCGTCTGGGTGGCTCAGTCGTTAAGCGTCTGCCATCTGCCTTCGGCTCAGGTCATGATCTCAGGGTCCTGGGATCGAGCCCTGCATCGGGCTCCCTGCTCTGCGGGAAGCCTGCTTCTCCCTCTCCCACTCCCTCTGCTTGTGTTCCCTCTCTCGCTGTGTCTCTCAACCAAATAAATAAAATCTCTAAAAAAAATAAAATCTTAAAAAAAAAAAGAAGAATCTGCCTATCCTCCCAAGGAGATTGGAAAAAAACGCCTTAAAAAATACCTGTACAAATGGCAATAAAGTACTTCCTGAGACCACAAGGCTCCAAATATCCAAGACATGTTCAAGATTAGTTACTAGAGTGATTGGCGGCACACAAAAACACTAACCATCATGTTACAAATAAGTATTAATAAATAATCAGTAGCAAGGTACCATCTTGGTGGACTCGTGTCTCTTCACGAGGTGCGTAGAACACCTTTTTCTGTTTTAACTCGTATATTTTTTTTGCTAGGGTGGAACTGGGTGCAGCCTCAATATGCTTGTGTGTTGTTGTCGTTGTTTTTTAAGTTGGTTATTTTTTTTGTAATATCCACACCTGATGTGGGGCTTGAACTCACAGCCCCGAGTTGCAGGCTCCACTGACTGAGCCAGCTGGGCGCCCCTGGTTTTGCTTTTCAATGCGTATAAGGTGAAACATCTTGTTCATATAAGTAACTAGGTGGGGCTGAAAATAGTTTTATTATAGCAATGCTATATGATTCTTTAAACTCCTCGTTTGCCTTAAATTGCATATGTATCTATTAGCAAAATTTATTTTATTTTTATTATTTTAAAAAAAGATTTTATTTATTTATTTGACAGAGAGCACAAGCAGGGGGAGTGGCAGGCGGAGGGAGAGGGAGAAGCAGGCTCCCTGCTGAGCAGGGAGCCTGATGCGGGGCTCGATCCCAGGACCCCGGGACCATGACCTGAGCAGAAGGCAGACGCTGAACCGACTGAGCCACCCAGGCACGCCTATTAAAATTTATTTTAAATGATCTCTCAGCTGACAATGTCCATCAGTTCTGTGGTGAGCAAAGAACTGGAAAGCACCTGACTCGTGAGCGGATTTGGAACTCGGCCATTGGTGTCTTCAACTTTCTGCACACCTACACCCGCCTTTCGTGAGGCCCCGCTGTCGGCCACCTGGGAAGCCTAGGCGCCCCGGGCCTTGCCCCGCAGCGAGCCCTGGGCTCCCCAGCAGGGGAACGGGGCTGAAGGCGGAAAGCCCTTCTCAGGCACATGGCTTTTTGTCAGCGGCACCTATGGGGGCTGAGAGTCCGCAGAGACTGATTCGCTGAAAACTCTCCCTGCCCACGTACCCCCTGGAAAGCCTCTGTGCCCCCTGCCCCCAAGAGCGTGTGCACCCCAGTGTGAAGAGCACTGTTCCAGCAGGCCCACAGTGTGAAGGAAAATGGTCAGGTCAGCCCAGGGTGGCTGGGCCCTGGGGCTTCCTACAGCTTGGGCTAAGTCCTTCTGCACCTTCTATCATCCGCACACCAGCTGGGCGCGGGTGGCAGGGGCCCTGGGGTTTGCATGTGGCCCAGCCTCCCGCAGTCGGTTCCCTGCCCAGATGAGGGGTGGAATTGAGAAGGGGACCAAGGGAGGGCAGTGTGGACAGACCCCAGCACCTCCTCCAACACCCAAGGGAAGCACGTGGGACTCACCAGCCTGGCTGTGGCCCAGGCTCGATACTCCAGAAGCCTTGGGGCCAAGCGTCCCACTGGGTCCCAAAGGAAGCCCCTGAAATGTCCCTCTCCCGAAATTTTTCTGTCCCAAACCCTCACCAGGTCTGTGGCACAGGCTGCCCCTTAGGTGCCCCTGCACCTAACGCCCGTCCCGGGACCTGGCACCTCCTGGCAGCCACCACAGACTGAGCCAGGGGGTCCCTCCCTGGGTCCTGGAGTGGTGTCTGGGCACAGCCAAGTGGGGAAGAGCAAGGACTGACAGTCAGGCCTGTCTAGGTCCAAATGTCCGCTCTTCCACTCAACTGTGTGAATTCGGGCAAGTCACTTAAACTTCCCTCAACCTCAACTTCCTCACTGGGGGCATCCATACCACCTCAGAGAATGGTTCTGGAAAATCATCACAGAACTAATGTATTCTGAGCATTTCCCAGGAGTCTAGCATGAAGACAAACCTTCACATACAGAATCTCAATTGTCATAACAAGGTTGTGGGGGGGTTAGCCTTTTTATGCTCCCATTTTATGGACGAGAATACTGAGGCTTAACGAGACGAGGGAACTTGCCCAATGCCACACATCTAGGAAGTGAGAGCTGGGGTCCAAGACCGAGTCTCCCTGACTCGCCCACTCTGCTAACCCAGCAAGAGAAGGTGTAATGCACCTTGCCTGGTGTCTGCGCCTCTCGGTGACAAGGCATCTGCTCTTTCTGGTATTTATTTAGAAAGGAGACATCAGGGCCTCCTCCGGTATAATTCTGCCACTCTTTCCCTCCCCACTGCTTCCGTCCTAGCTGCCGAGCAGCAACCTTACATTTTCCTGGGGGCACGTGAGATACAGGAAAGGCAACTCCTGGTGCTAAGGCCCGGTTCTTGGCCTGCTTCTTCCAGGAGGCCTTCCTTGGAGAACTCCAGGCCTCAGGCCTTCGGTTCTCCTCGGCCTTCCTGCCGCAAGGACGCTGTCCCTCTGCAGCTGGCTGGCATCCTCCCACCTGTCTGGGGCCAGGGCTGAGTCAGGTGGCACTTCTGTGTTTTACTGTGAGTCCCCACCACTGCCATCTCCCGGATCTCCTTGGCAGGTGCGGCCCTGGTGCGCTCGAGGGAGGCCAGCCTAGCCCCTCAGTGCCCCGACCATGAAGTTCTGTCTCCCAGCAGACCAGCAGCCTCCAGAAACCAAGGCTATTTTCAGGATGTCACTTAAATACAGAGAAGGGAGGGTGAGGAGTGGAGAGGGACATGGCACATTTTCCAGAGAAATGATGCTGCCTGAGCTGCTGCGGCTATTTATAACCCCTGGGAAATGTGGACTCTGCTATTTCCTGATTAGATTAGTGCCGGCGGCGGAAGAGCCAGCCCCCAGGATGTCCGTGGACAGAACACCTGACCGCTGACCCTCCAGTCCCAGCAGATAGGTGCTACCCCCCGGCCTTGGGCAGCGGGTTATCGGGGCAATGCCAGATTGCCCGAGGGAGGGAGGGAGATGGGGCTGCGAAGGGCCAGGCTGGGGGAGACCCCCAGGGGGCCCCTCCTTCACCCCACGGGTAAGACACACACGGTTGGGGCTCCCCCAAGGTGGGACACAGGCAAGAGACAGAAAGGAGCCATAGGACATCCTAGAGAAAGTTCCGGGTGGGCCACACACCGCCGCGGGGAGCGGCTCAGTTATGTTCCGTTTGCTTGTGTCTTTAGACTCGGTCAGGTCATGGCTGCCAAGGAGACACGGCTGACCTTGGGGACTGATGTCCGCAAGAGAACTGCCAGGTCGTTTGCAACAAAATCCTGAGCCCACGTAAGGAGACGGAGACACATATTCTCAGAGAGAATCTGGCAGGTGGTTGGGGAGCTGCTTCCCCAGCCTTGAACCTAGGACAGGAAAGCCCAGCGGCCTCGAGGGGGCACTGGGAGGACCCGAGGACAGGAGGGCAGGGGAGGATGCTCTGTGCTCCCCCTGGGCATCCTCTGGTTGGCGGGTGCACCTCGCTCCTGCAGGAACATCCGTACGGGCCTTTAGGCCTAAGCCCTTCCTCCCAGCCCGTTTGTCGCCAGCACATCTCCTTCCCTCTGGCTCAAGGGCTGTTCGTGACCACCTCCCAGTGCCTGGGGTTTCAGAGGCACCATCGAGTTTGGGGTCCCTGTTCTCACTCCCCTGAGTAGATGACACGGTCCACGGTCAAACCTGGGTC